CGCTTGTGCTCGCAACTCCAGAAACCAGAAGGCAAAGAGACAGGATGCGCAAGCAACAATCGTACCGAACTCCACTGCACGATCGCCACAGCGCCGTGACGAGTGGAAGTCCGAGCGGAAAACTTGCCAGGCGAGCCTAAATCAGATTGAATGGGGAGCCGCGGGCGCACGAGAAACGTAAGAGACCCAGACTGAAACAACACGAAACCCGCCAAGACCAGATAAAACCAAGCGCTCAGTGAATCCCACCAGCCCTCGGGGCGCGGGTCGATTATGCTAACAAGTAGTGTAAGTCCTGTCTTCCCCTTCGGGTAAGAGGTTGCCTCCGCTCCTTGTGCATAAACACCCTCTCGCCCGCCCGACAAAGCAAAGTGCAGTGCCGACATCCCGCCCCCACCATCAGAAGACAATACAGCATGCACTCTGCGCCACAATATGGATCATGCTCCTGCGCCCCGCGATCGCTTTGCATGACCAAGGGAGGAGCGGGGGCAACTGTATTGCCTGATGCGTGCAGGCCCACCATCCCTGTCAGAAACCAATGGGGCGCGCACGGTGCGGCAAAATGATGGACCAGGCGCGGGCGCCCCGGGATGATGGGGGTGCCCTGGCACGCGCGGCGCACCTCGCGGGTGTCACGCTCCTGGCTGGCGTATGCATCGATTCCACATGTTCGTCGATGGCGGCCCCTGTCCATGCTGAGACTCGGCTGCTACTTATGTGCTGGGACGGCGGGTGCGAGTAAGAAAGACGGCTTGCGACTTATGGCTGCCTTGACCACTGCTCCTTAATAATCCCACCAGCCCGTCAGGGCGTGAGTGGTTTAGAACGTGTCCTCTTTCAACCCCATTATTCCCCTTCGAGAAGCGGTTTACCCTTCCCGCTACCCCCTACCCCTGGACCTCGACAGGTGGGGCGGCGGATGGTTAGAGCGTCCAAAATGGCTTCGGCGAGCGGGCCGAAATCATTGATTTAACACAGGATTCGGCCACAGGTTGGCATCCTGGGAGGGGGCCGATCAAGTAGCACCAATTCTTTGATCGATCACCTCCAAGATGGCCCTCGAGCCTCCCTACGGGGCCGCGAAGCGCTGTGTTGGGTCGGAGAGGCGCATGCGAACGCCGCCGCTGGGGCCTTCGGAGTGAGTACCCCAAGAGGCCCCGAGAGGCCCCCAGGATGCCCCCAAAATGCCCCCACAAGGCTGGATGCTCCGAGAGGCTGTCCCGAGGAACCCAAAACGCTTCAAGAGGTCCCCGAGGCCCCTTTTCAAACGTGCGCTGGCCTCGATCAGGCCAACATCCACATTCTTAGGCAACTCAGTGCTTCGGTGGAGCGTTATCCAGGTGTTATGCTGGCAAGTGCTGACTGGAACATGGAGCCCTTGACCATTGAGGAGAGCGGCTTCACGCGAAAGGCAGGTCTCATAGGCGTGGCTCCTGTGCGCATGTCCAGCTGTGCTTGACCAGCTACGTACGACATCTTGGAATGAGTAATGCGACAAGGCATTGGAAGGATCGGCGAAAAAGATGCATAAGATTGCCAGGCTCTAGCAGCACTGGTGTCCTGCCGTGGTCGAGAAGGCACCAGGCATTTTCTCAAGCAGCCCAGATGCGGTATCGAATGCTGAGGTCGAGGCGCTGAAGGCTCAGTGGCAGGCTACAGTTCGACCACCGATTGCTGAAGTACCAGATCGTGATTGTTTCTCGAGAGCCACCGTTGAAGAGATTCAACATGCATCACGAAGTTGTTCAAGTTTTGCGACTTCCACGTTGGATGGGTTTCACCCGAAACACATGTCGTTCTTTTGGGACGCTGGCGTGTTCACCCTGAGTATGATGTACGAGGCGGTGAAAAACTTGGCTTGTTCCCGAGGCATGTTGTGTGGATGGTGTCCCCGCTCATTGATAAGCCAGCTGGTGGGCATCGTGCTATCCTGCTGCTGGCTAGTTTCGTGAGAGTGTGGAAGCGGCTGCGACGCCCGCAGTTGGACCCCTTGTTTGCGTCTACCGAACGTGCATACTGGGCCTTCGGCGCTGGCAAGAGCACTGAATCGTGTGTGTAGGCCCAGGCTGCAGTTTCGGAGGTGGCATCGTCACAGGAGCAAGTCTTTATGGGGGTCCAGTGGGATGGCATGAACTACTACGAGTCGTTTGATGTGGGACTATTGGGATCTCGAGCGTATCAGTGGACTATCTCAGGAGTTATTGTCAAAAAGATGCTGAACATGTGGCGTGCTCCTCGTTTGGCCAGATTGGGAATGTCCTTCCACCCCATCGCGCCGTTCGCTACCGGTGGCCTCCCAGCAGGCGACATATCTAATGATGCGTTCGTCAAAGTGTATGCCATCGGTGCTTTCGACAGCTTCATGAGTAGGTGGAAGGAGCCGTCCATTCGTCTATCCTCGTACGTCGATGACGACACGATCATGGCTGTAGGGGATAGGCATACCCTACTGCGGGTAGTCCAAGACGCTGCAGCTGATTTCCAAGATACGTTCAAGAAAGAGCTTCGAGCCCAGATTTCGGAGCCTAAAGCCATTACGATCGCGAGCACGCAGTCGTTAGCAGCAGCATCAGCTGCAGAGTTACGTCGTCGCGGTCTCCCAACTGGCTCGGTCACTAGCGCTGCGCTCAACCTCGGGGTCGCCTTCGCCCCTGGACAGGCTAGGGCGGTACCTAAGGCGCTTCACAAACGACGCGAACGTTTTTGGGCTGTCAAGCTTCGTCATTGTCGAGTGATTCGTGTTCGTAAATGGATGCCCCACGGAAAGCACGGAATGGGCAGTATTCATTCAGATGGTTGAAGCCAACACTGGCATATGGCAGTGCAGTACTGGGTATGCCAGACTGAAAGCTTAGGCGGGCTCTTGCTGCCCTTTTGAGTTTTCGCGCAGGGGAGCCTCGCTCGTGTCGAGGTGTGTAGCGCATGGAGACCCCATGGCTGATGCGAGCGTGGTACCTGCTATGCAGTGGGCGAGAGCTGTGTGAAAGGCGGCAGTGGAACCCGAGCGCGCGCTGTTCACTGTCCAGGAGCTTGCATGGATGTATGCGGTTGTCGAGGGGATGTTCGATAGGCACGACACGTGGAGAAAATCAAAGGGCCTCAGTACTCGTATGATGCTCTGCTGGCACCGTATCGGTTGGGAGTGTAAGAACGTGATTGAGTGGATTGGCGATCGAGGAATGAAACTATCTCTAGTGTACACGTCTCCCACCATGATCAAGACTCTGCTGCGCGATGGCGTGCAAGATAAGCATGAGCGTGGCATGTACATGTTGGTCAGTGACATGGACGTGTGGAGTGATAAGCGTGTGTGTGTGTGTGCTGAACTTGCTCGTAGCTTTGTTTGCACGGGTAAGAAGTTTACGCCTGGGCAGAGGTATGCTATAGCCTCATGCCTTACCAAGGACGCTTTTTCAGAACGATAGGCTCCGTAACACGGGGTAAGACGTTGGGCCACACTGCCCGCCGTGTGGGGCACAGGACAGCCTGCATCACAGACTCGGGTGCTGTCAGTGCCCTGGGGGGCGGGAAGCGAGGGAGAGAGCGGCCCCGGAGGAAGTGGTACGAGAGGCGGCCGAGGCCGGCCCGGATGATCTGCGTTGGACTCGCCTTGTCGTCGTGCACCCCTCATGCGCCCTCCCTTCTCCCGCAGGCAGGCTCTACCCTGAGTTGTTGGATCCCCGCGGGCGGCCCTTGACCCAGGTGTCGGTTCTCGAGGGTGGTTCGGACGTCGTCGTTGATGGGTCGTGCACCCGCTCGTCGAGTCGGGAAATGTCAAGGGCTGCCTATACGGGAGCTTTTCTTGCCCCAGGCTCGGAGGTCGTGGCGCGTTTCCATGGGCCAGTGTGGCCCAGCTTGCCACAGACACCCCAAGCTGGAGAACAGATGGCTGTGTGTGCCCTTGTGTGTGTTTTTTTTTAGCGCCGCGACAGATAGTACGATATGTTATGTTTCTTCCTTCCCTTGCCGACCGCGCGCAACAACGTGGCACAGGCGAGGACGACAGAAACGGCGTCAGATGAGACTACTGGTGGCGCTAAACGCAGCGGCAGAGAGACTCAGCAGCCATCACAGCTCGATGTCACACAACAGAGACGTGACGAGTTGGCAACACACACAGAGCGCACCTGGTCCCCAGCAAGCGGCGGATGTGGGTACGTGTGTGTTGGCCCTCCCAGGGCCTGCGAATGCTATCCGCATCGTCGCCACCGAAATGAAAGGTCCTAGGGCATGATTGGGGGCGGGGCGCGCGAAACGTCTGCAGGAGAAGGAAAGGGAGGGAGGAGGGCAACGACAAAACAAGCGACATTATCATGTACTTCTATACTAACAATAATGAGAGAGAGAGAGAGAGAGAGAGCGAGCGCCATGAACGTTAAAATTTGCGTTGGCAGTACATAATGTACAAGCTGCGATCACATTGCTATATGCGTGCAAAAATTACGTGCCGCGCGACGCCAAATACTGGCGTTCCCTTGCCATCGTTGACAAAATCTGTCAGCATCGCCGGCTGCCTTGCAAGCCATGGCGTATACATTGCGCTTCCACGTGTTCTTCGGCCGGCTGCGCTTTCGGCGACCTCCCAAGCGGGAAAATGAGAATGACCCGGGGGCGAAAATGCAGCGTCGGACGGCGCTGTCGTCTGGCAATTGGGCCGCCTTACCCAGCAGCACAAGCTGCCAGTATGCTAAATGGCTGCTTAATTTCTGACAGCTGCACTGGGCCAAGACGGCATCATTCGAAACACGGCTAACGAACGAGTGCGCTAACAATAACAAAAAAATGTAATTAAAAGGATGAGGAGGAGGAACCTGCGAACCATGTCACTGAGGCCTTCAGACATAAACACACACACACACACATACTCACACTCACACTCACACACTCACACGCATCATGACATGCAGACCATGGTTGACACGAACCGCACCAAACAACCACACGAACTGGCACCAACTGGCAAGCGGCCCCCCTCTCTATTGGAGGGGCACAATGTGTCAGAGCTCTCCTTGCGGCGGATGTGGAGGCCGAGCAGTGCGGCCACGCTGTGCAGGAGCTCTCACGACTGGCGACATTGACAGCCTCACCTCCTGCCATGCCTCGCCAAAAGTCACAGATACCATCCTCCATGTCTCTGAAGCCTCCGGAACGAGTTCGCTTCCGCCGCCGCTGCGGACGAGGAATGTGTGCCCGCTGAAGCTGTCCATTGTGTGCCGAGCACCCTTCCCTAGCCCCGTTATGGGTACCAGTGGGTCGTGCCCGTCCTCACCGAGCCAAAACTCATCGAGCCAAAACACCTCGGCATCGACACCCAAGTCATTGACGAGATTCAGATCGACGCAACTGGAGCATGGCACCCACGTCGGAGGCTCGGCACCCAAAGCTTCGGCAAGCCGTTCCGCCAGCGGACTGAGCCTGTCAAGATACCTTGGCGGCAAGTACCCACCGGTTGACCGTGCCACCGTGACGGCTCCAGGAAGTGTGCCAGAAGAGCCCAAGCCCCTCACCCAATCCAGCAGCAATGCGACAGCCGCCTCGACCTCGCTGTCAGTGCTGTAGTGCACCGGTGCACCACACAGCAACTTCATCGCCGCCTGCATGTCGCCCTCCGTTACTCCGCCCTGGGCCATCAAGGACCGGCCCTTGGCCTCCTGTGCATCACAAGCGGAACGGGTAACGTCGTCAGCGTCGAGATTTCCGCAAGAGCATTCAACTAGCAACTCCAAGTCGGGCTCCTCCAGGCCAAGGAGCCTGCGCAATTCACTACATCCGGGGCTCTCTGTCGCGAACGTGTCGAGGTCAACGTCCAAGATGAAAGAGCTCGCCTCCAAGGACAATGCAACATCCTTCAAGGACTCGGCGGTGAAAGGGAATCACCTCCAATGCGAAACTCAGCGCCCCCGGCAGCGCCGCAACTTCCGCGGCGCTCCTCCGGAGTCTTTTTGGTGCAAAGCGCGCATCGGAGACGTAGGCTCCCGCAGTCTCGTCGAGAGCCAGCATGTACTCGAAGCGGCCGTAGTCGTGCTCCACCGCCCACGGCGGCCGCACCCACACGACGCGGTCGACAATGCCAAGGGCAAGCCCGGCGGTCACGAAGTCGTTGATCTGCACCCGAGCGGCGAGCTCCAGGCTCGAGGCCGAGGCATTGAGCTGCTTCGGCATCCCCATGTCCGAGTGGCTGTCGAAGTGGACCACCGTCGCAGGCGTGCGGAGGCGTCCCGTCCTCCGAGCCTCGCTCCAGCCGAAGAGGGCCTCGCCGTGCTGTTCAGCGGACCACATCGGGACCGACGCGACGGCGCCATGGCAACAAACGGCGAGCGCCATCCCGTAGAGCCTGCAGAGGAGCATGGCTCTCACAGAGGGGCTGCCTGCGAAAGCCCGAGCAGGTGCTTGAGCCAAAATGGCTACGGATGTGTGCCCTTGTGTGTGTTGATACGTAGTGGCATGTATGTGCGCTCTAAGGGCCTCGGCGTGGTTCGTCTCCACAACCAGACCCCAAAAGCAGCTGCGTGGCACGTCGAAGTACGCTGGCCTGAGGAGAGGTGTTCTGCAGTGTGAAGGTGCACGATATGTTGGCATGGCAAGGCACACCAAGGCACATCGCAGCGCTGAGGTCATTGATGCTGTGCCCGATGCTGAGCGTAGGATTGCAAATGGGAACTTCCTAGCTGACAAGTGTGCTAAGGAGGCTCTTTCCATGCACCCTCAGGGTGATCCCGATGTTTTGGCCGATGCTGAAACTCTGGTTGCCAAGGTCCGTGCCGTGGCCCTCGTGATGGGGGCTGTGCTGCCCCAGTTTCCTTTTGCCGCGTTTCCCGAAAAGCAGAGGATCCAGAAGCCTCGGCATACGGGTGCTGAGCGTTGGCACGAGTGGACGGCCGCACCTGGTGCGCCTGGCACATTCATGTCATGATTGCCACCAGCGTGCGTGTCATGCGTCAGGCGCTCGCCTCGAAATGTGTGGGTGTCCTGGGCGGCGGGCTAATTGCAAGTTTTCGAGTGAGCATGAGCATGGTCATGACTTGGTCTGTACTCGACTGTCGTCAGGACCCTCTCTTGTTTTTTGCCGCCGCTGTGGAGCGTATGGCACAAATCGCCGCAGTGGCCTTCTCGAGGAGCGTGGCCGTGGCCGTGCCATGCCGCCTCGCGGTGCCGTCTCGGCCGCAAGAGCAGGGGTGTGCATCCGCAGTCGAGTCGGGCGCCAGGCGGTGTGCTCCACATCTCAAGTGATGCGGACAGGGAGAGACTGCTGGTCTCCCAGCAGCCCCAGCAGGGCGCCGTCTGTCTGCGCCCGCCCGAGGTGGCCCTGAGGCAGCGGCTGGTCGCCTGTGAGGAGGAGGCTCGAGGTTGTTCAACTGCATATTCGTTGTATCCCCTTGGGAGAAGGAAACTCTTCCTCCCCCTCCTTCTCCTCCTCTTCTTCCTCCTCCTCCTCCTCCTCCGCCTCCTCCTCATCATCATCAGCATCATCCTCATCATCATCACCATCATCGTCATCAGCATCATCATCATCGTCATCATCATCATCATCACCATCATCATCGTCATCATCAGCATCATCATCAGCATCATCATCAGCATCATCATCATCAGCATCCTCTTATGGCTGCTCCTCCATCCTCCCCCTCTTGGGGTATGAAGGCTTCCCAGCCTTTGTTCCACTGCGTTCTCCCCCACATGCATGCTCAGGGCAACTCGCCTGGGCATCGTTTCTGGATGGGCTGGTGGGGTTACGCGAAGCGTCAAACTATACACCCCCTCCCCCATCCGACCTGCCGGGACCTTGACAACACCCTCCACCACCCCTTGCAAAATTACACCAGACGTACCCAACCCCTTCTCGGAGAAGGCTTCTCCACGCGAGGCGAACATGTGTATGAACGCTCCATGTGTCGCCAGATATGCATGATCAGGGCGTCCCTCATGTCCGCCGTGCCCCCCAGGAGCCTACGAAAATGGCGACCGTTGCGCACATCGTAGCCTCCCAGGGAACCGCGAGGTCTCGGCTGGATCCGCGCGGTCCCCGTTTCCGCTGGACGTCCCAGGAGCCCACAAAGTGGCGACAGTTGCGCAGTTCGCAGCATCCCAGGGAACAGCGAGGTCTCAAATGGGTGCGCGTGGCCCCTGACCCCGCTGGACTTTCCAGGAGCCAACGAAAGTGGAGACAGTTGAGCAGTTCGCTAACCCCCAGGAGGCCCACGAAAGCGGCGGCAGTTGCGCAGTTCGCGGCCACCTACATAGCAGCGAGATCTCGACTGGGTGTGCGCGGCCACGGGACGCCGCTGGACCTCTCATGAGCCCACGAATGTGGCCACTGTTGCGCAGTTCGCAGCCCCCCAGGGAGCGTCGAGGTCTCGGCTGGGTCCGCGTGGCCCCCAGCTACGCTGGACCTCCCAGGAGCCCACGAACGTGGCGACAAGTGCGCAGTTCGCAGTTCCACAGGGAGCTACGAGGTCTCGTGCTTCCCTGGAGCCCAAGAAAATTGCGACACTTACGCAGTTCGCAGCCACCGAGGGTACCGCGAGATCCCGACTGGATGCGCGTCCTCCCCTACTCCGCCGTGCCTCCCAGAAGCCCACGAAAGTGGCGACCGTTGCGCAGTTCGCAGCCACCCAAGGAGCTGAGAGGTCTCGGCTGGATGCGCGTCCTCTCAACATGTAAATATATATATATATATATATATATATATATATATGTATATAGAGAGAGATAGATAGATAGATAGATAGATAGATAGATAGATAGATAGATAGATAGATAGATAGATAGATAGATAGATAGATAGATCCCTCAACCCTCGATACCAGCCCTCTTCGAGCCCGATCGTACTCCATTCGGGTGAATATCGTCTTTGCCTGCCACGTGTAGTTTGCGCGGCCCCTAAAATAGGCAGAGGAGGGAGACAGGAGGAGACTGCAAGAAAGGGAGGAGGACACGAGAGCGGAGGGGCGCAAGGGCGAGGGGCAAAAAGCAAGATAGGTGCGCTATTACCATGTCTGACATCCGACCTCTCCCACCCATCCCTTCCCATTGCGCTGAATCCTTGTTTATCCACCAGCAGGCCCTAACTCGACTAAACCCAAAAATTACAACCCGTCGTGGGATGCGAAAGTAAAAAGGGCGCTGCACATTGGACGAAGCGGACGAGGAGAAGGAGAAGGTGAGGAGTAAGCAGGAGGATGAGCAGGACGACAAGGAAACAGGAGAAGGAGCAGCAGCAACGGGAGCAGGAGCAGCAGGAGGAGCAATGACGAGGAACGTAGCGGATCCGGAAATGTTGCCCGCGCCGGGACGAGAGCGCAAATCTGAAAAGTGTGAACAAGAAAGCCCCGATCCTGACATGTGGCCAACGCTGCGGCAGGAGTACCCTCCTAGCAGGACCGAGAACGGCCCGCTTGGACTGAACACCGGCGAAAGAAGTCTTGAAAGCCTGTGTGCGAGAAATAAAGATAGGGGGCGCCCCCGCACAACGAGAGGATAGTAGCCGAATTGTGAGAAGTGCCGAAGAGAACCTACTGCCTCGAACCGGCGTGTTGTCCCTTCTCCTGCTCGTTCGCGTCCTCCTCCTCCTCCTGCCCCTGCTTGTACCACTCTGGGCAGATGCTACACTGCACGCTTCTACACTTCCCTGCAGAAGACAACTCGTCTTGGCATTGCTTCAGGAACTCTTCCGCCTGTTTCCCGTCAGCGCTCATCGGCAGCGTTTCTGCATGGGCTGGTGGGGATGCGCGAAGCGTGCAGGATTGCCCAGTAGAACCTACTACCTCGGACCGACGTGTCATAACGAGGCCCAGCAAGCGTGTTTGCAAGCACGCATCTGGCTTGATTTTGGAATTCGCAGATTGTCGTTCACACTTGTTTGTCTAGAGGAAGGAGCATGTACACAGATCGCTGATGGCATGGACCTGACACGTTTGTAAGAATTGCGCCTTGCCCCCCCCGCAAAGATCCTGCGGCCACAGCCCACACACATAAGCGCATAAGGTATGATTCCGCGATTTGTTTTGACGCACGTGCCCCGCCACTTCCCCCATGCAAGTTGCTGCCCGCTCCCTTTCCCGCACCATACCCTTGCAGACCAGGCAGCGAGGAGAGCCTGCTGCGCAGGCGGCTTCTCTAGCAGGGCCGCCTCTACTTCGCCAAGCTGGCCCTGGAGCGATGGACGTTTTCAAGCGCTCGCGCGCATGCTTAGACACCTCATGTTGAGTGGTTACTCACTCCTGGTATCGGCAGATTGGTTGCGAAAGATGTACAACTGCTTGGCCTTGCCTGCGTACTGGCTCATTCAAAATTCAGGACGGGGAAATGCTTCATCCATAACATACTTCTGGCAGATTTGGTTGCCTGGGCAGCTCTGACAAGAGCGCACCTCTGAAAGCAAGGCGAGGCATCCCCAATCGAGAGGACAACAGCCAGCGGCCCTTGCTGAAGTGTAAAGCTCAAGACAGGCTCCTCCGCCCCGCCACTGGCAACGTACCGCTTCAGAACGTTGTCTTCAGCAGAGGATAACGCAGCATCAGCCTGGCCAAACCCTGCTGTCAGGACCCTCGTCGCATGATGCTCTGACAAATCAGGTCAAACAGAAGCAGTTGCTCTGATACACGCGCTCGCATCAACACGCGCAGCGACAATGCCATACGTTCTCGTGTCCCCGCCCTGCGCACGTCGCAAAGGTCTGCGCAAATGCCATCACATACGACCCGCACCATCTGCAAATTCTAAACTTAGGCCGGCTGGATTCCTGCGGTGACCCAGAATGGGATTGAGCTCAAAGGCATGCCAGGTTCAGGGAGTCTGTCCACTGAGGGTCCAGCAAAAGAGAAGAACCATCAGAAATTATCCTGGCGATGGACCCAACTATATGCAGTTACGAGTACCGCAAATCAGGTTGAACGAATGAGAGGGAACTCCGTAAGGGGCCACGAAACGTGTGAGAGGTGTGCCGCAATGGGTGCGGTGCCGCCATGCGAACGCAGCCACTGGGGCCCCCGGTGGAGCTCCCTATGGGGCCACGAAACGTGTGAGGGGTGTGCCGAAATGGGTGCGGTGCCGCCATGCGAACGCAGCCACTGGGGCCTTCGGTGGAGCTCCCTATGGAGCCAAGAAACGTGTGAGGGGTGTGCCGAAATGGGCGCGGTGCCGCCATGCGGACGCAGCCACTGGGGCCCTCGGTGGAGCTCCCTATGGGGCCAAGAAACGTGTGAGGGGTGTCCCGAAAAGGGCGCGGTGCCGCCATGCGAACGCAGCCACTGGAGCCCTCGGTGGAGCTCCCTATGGAGCCAAGAAACGTGTGAGGGGTGTGCCGAAATGGGCGCGGTACCGCCATGCGAACGCAGCCATTGGAGCCCTCGGTGGAGCTCCCTATGAGGCCACGAAACGTGTGAGGGGTGTGCCGAAATAAGTGCGGTGCCGCAATGCGAACGCAGCCACTGGGGCCCTCGGTGGAGCTCCCTATGGGGCCACGAACCGTGTGAGGGTGTGCCGCAATGGGCGCGGTGCCGCCATGCGAACGCAGCCACTCGAGCCCTCGGTGGGGCTCCCTATGGGGCCACGAAACGTGTGAGGGGTGCCGAAATGGGTGCGGTGCCGCCGTGCGAACGCAGCCACGGGGGCCATCCGTGGAGCTCCCTCAAGGGCCACGAAACGTGTGAGGGGTGTGCCGAAATGGGTGCGGTGCCGCCATGCGAACGCAGCCACTGGGGCCTTCGTAGAGCTTCCTACGGGGCCACGAAACGTGTGAGGGGTGTGCCGAAATGGGTGCGGTGCCGCCATGCGAACGCAGCCACTGGGGCCCTCGGTGGAGCTCCCTATGGGGCCACGAAACGTGTGCGGGGTGTGCCGAAATGGGCGCGGTGCCGCCATGCGAACGCAGCCACTGGAGCCCTCGGTGGAGCTCCTTATGGGGCCACGAAACGTGTGAGGGGTGTGCCGAAATGAATGCGGTGCCGCCATGCGAACGCAGCCACTGGGGCCTTCGTAGAGCTTCCTATGGGGCCACGAAACGTGTGAGGGGTGTGCCGAAATAAGTGCGGTGCCGCCATGCGAACGCAGCCACTGGGGCCTTCGGTGGAGCTCCCTATGGGGCCACGAAGCGTGTGAGGGGTGTACCGAATTGGGTGCGGTGCCGCCATGCGAACGCAGCCATTGGAGCCCTCGGTGGAGCCCCCTGTGGGGCCACGAAGCGTGTGAGGGGTGTGCCGAAATGGGTGCGGTGCCGCCATGCGAACGCAGCCGCTGGAGCCCTCGGTGGAGCTCCTTATGGGGCCACGAAACGTGTGAGGGGTGTGCCGAAGTGGGTGTGGCTGACGCGGAGGGGGAGGAGGGAGGAGGGGGCAGAGGGAGGAAGGAAGGAAGGAAGAAGTGAACGCGGGGCGCTGCCTCTTCAAAACGAGGACCCAACACCACAGGATGGTTGGGAACAAAAACAAAACAGCAAACACTCAAGCTGTCTGAGTTTCCAGATGCTGTTGCACATGCAGTCTGCAGATGCCATGTGCAAAACGAACCAACGTATACAAAGGCTCGGTCCCAATCGGACGTCCAATCACACGACTGTCCAGACCCCCCGAAGACCGAAGACGGCCCCGCAACGACTTCAAGAGGTCCTCGAGTCGTCTCGAACAGATATCCGAGAATGTCCTATGAAGGCTCAAATTGAAATATGTGCTCATCTTGAGCGCTATCAATCGTTTCGTGTTTCTCCTGGAGAGAATCCCAGGCGGGACCACTCCCCCTACTCGCCTGGCGTCTCGTTGCGTACACCCCCATCCCCCCCCCCTGGTCACGACCCCTCGTAAAAAGTATGCGGGCGAAGGCCCTCTCAGAAGTAGCCCCGAGCATCGCATCGCAGGTGGGGACGAGGAGGGGGCCAGCAGAAAGACAGCGGCGCAGATGGGGAAGAGAAAAGCTGACATGGGCACACTGGGGTGATGTTCTGTAGGGCGCGAGCCCCGTGCGGCGCCGTTTCGTGCCCATGTTTTCCCGAGTCTGTCTCCTCTCTTCTTGTCTCCGCTGTGCGTCGAATGCTTGCCTGCCTGGCCCAGGCTGGCCCGAGCCCTGGGCGCCGCCGTTTTGTGCCCATGTCCTTCCCTCGTAGTTCTCCCCTCTATGTCCTTGCCCACTTAGCCTGTGGCGGCCCGAGCCCCAAGCGCCGCCGTTTCTTACTCTCCTTTGGTTTCTCCCCTGTCATTGCACCCCAGCGTCGGCAATAAATTCTGTGTTTTCCGTAAGCTCTGGCACCGACGAGAAATGCTTCAAAAATCGTTTAAACCAAAATGGCTACCAGGAAAGGCTGGGCTGGGTATGCCGAAACGAAGGCGACGCCAACATGCGGACCCTGCCACTAGGGCCTGAAGTGGAGCTCCCAATACGGCCACGACACGTGTGACGAATGTGCCGAAACCGGCGTGGCGCCCACATGCGGACCCTGCCACTGTGGCCTTAGGTGGAGCTCCCCTTAGGGCCACGAAGCGTGTGAGGGGTGCACCGAAACGGCGATGACGTCCACGTGCGGACCCTAACACTGGGGCCTTCGGTGAAGCCCCCTGTGGAGCCACTAAACGTGTGAGGGATGTGCCGAAGCGGCGGTGACGCCCACATGCGGACCCTGCAACAAGAGCCTTCTGTGGACACTCATAAGGGGCCACGAAACGTGTGAGCGGAATGCCGACACGGACGTGACGCCCACATGCGCACCCCTTCCACTAGGGCATTAGGTGAGTATGCCGAAGCAGTGGTGCCGCACGTATGCGGACCCTGCCACTGGGGCCGTAGGTGGAGCGCCCTATGGGGCCACGAAGCGAGTGAGGGTTGTGCCAATGAAGACCACATGCGAACCCCTGCCACTGGGGCCGTAGGTGGAGCCCATTATGTGACCACGAAACGTGTGGGTGGTGTGCCAGAATTGGTGGTCGAGGGCCGATGATAATAATAACGATAATGATAATGATAATGCTAATGAAAATGAAAATGAAAATTAAAATGAAAATGAAAATGAAAATGAAAATGAAAATGAAAATGAAAATGAAAATGAAAATGATAATGATAATGAAAATGATAATGATAATGATAATGATAATGATAATGATAATGATAATGATAATGATAATGATAATGATAATGATAATGATAATGATAATGATAATGATAATGATAATGATAATGATAATGATAATGATAATGATAATGATAATGATAATGATAATGATAATGATAATGATAATGATAATGATAATGATAATGATAATGATAATGATAATGATAATGATAATGATAATGATAATGATAATGATAATGATAATGATAATGATAATGATAATGATAATGATAATGATAATGATAATGATAATGATAATGATAATGATAATGATAATGATAATGATAATAATGATAATGATAATGATAATAATGATAATGATAATGATAATGATAATGATAATGATAATGATAATGATAATGATAATGATAATGATAATGATAATGATAATGATAATGATAATGATAATGATAATGATATGATAATGATAATGATAATGACAAAGAATGAAAATAATAATGATAATGATAATGATAATGAAAATGATAATGAGAATGAGAATGATAATGAGAATGATAATGAGAATGAGAATGATAATGAGAATGTTAATGATAATGATAGTGATAATGTTAATGGTAATGATAATGATAATGATGATGATGATGATAATGATAATGATGATGATGATGATAATGATAATGATAATGATAATGATAATGATAATGATAATGATAATGATAATGATAATGATAATGATAATGATAATGATAATGATAATGATAATGATAATGATAATGATAATGATAATGATAATGATAATGATAATGATACTGATAATGATAATGATGGATGGTGGTGGTGGTGGTGGTGGTGGTGGTGGTGGTGGTGGTGGTGGTGGTGGTGGTGGTGGTGGTGGTGGTGGTGGTGGTGGTGGTGGTGGCGGTGGTGGTGGTGGTGGTGGTGGGTGGTGGTGATGATGATGATGATGCTGATGATGATGATGATGCTAATGCTGATGATGATGATGATGATGCTGCTGACGATGCTGATGATGATGGTGATGGTGATGATCATCATCATCATGATGATGGCGATGATGAAGATGATGATGACGAGGATGACGATGCTAATGATGATGGTGATGATGATGGTGATGGTGATGATGTTGGTGATGTTGATGGTAATGTTGATGGTGATGATGAGGAGGATGCTGGTAACGTTCATGGCGAAGATGGTGGTGATGGCGAAGGCACTGCCGAGGGTGTCACTGATAGCAATGGGAATAGTGATGATGATGACGACCATGATGATGATGAGGAGGTTGCTGGTGATGATGAGGATGCTGCCGAAGATGATGATGAGATTGATGATGGTGGTGATGATGGTGATAGTGGCGATGCTAGTACTGATGACGATGCTGAGTAAGATGGTGACGATGATGATGATGATGCTGATGATAATATTGATGATGATTGTGGTGGTGATG